CAGTTCCAGCTACGGAATTGGATGTGTGATTGCTCATAACCTACCTGATGGGGCAGAACGACCAATCGCATTTGCGTCAAGAGCCTTATCCAAGTGTGAGGTTAAGTATAGCCAAATTGAGAAGGAAGCACTGGCTATCATCTTCGCAGTGAAGAAATTCCACAACTTCTTGTATGGTAGAAAATTCACCCTTGTGACTGATCATAGGCCACTCACTTTTCTCTTAGGTCCAACAAAAGGGATACCGACTCTGGCTGCAGCACGGATACAACGATGGGCTCTAACACTTGCGGCTTACGACTACAATATTCGCTACAAAAGAGGGGAAGAAATTTCGAATGCCGATGCACTGTCGCGGCTGCCATGTGAGACATCTGAGGAGGAAGGTGAAATTTCATTCTTTTCAGCTTCATACCGACTACCAATCACTTCCAAAGAAATTGCAACAGCAACTAAATTTGACCCAGTTTTGTCGAAAGTATTGGATTTTACTTCTAACGGTTGGCCTAATTTTGTAAATGATGAAACCGTAAAGCCATACGCCAATAAAAGTTCTCAGCTGTCTGTGGAAAAAGGTTGCCTATTGTGGAGAAGCAGAGTGGTGATACCACCCACCCATCGTAAAGAAATCTTGATTTTACTTCACTCTGAGCACCCGGGAGAGTCTAGGATGAAATCTTTAGCCCGTAGCTTTGTTTTCTGGCCTGGAATGGACTCGGAGATCGAGAACATGGTCAAGAGTTGTTCAGTTTGTCAAAGCACTCGCAAGTCTGCTCCTCTGGCCCCACTACAACCCTGGGCGAAACACAACTGGCAGAGACTACATCTCGACTTTGCCTCATTCGAAGGAAAGGAGTTCCTAATCTTGGTTGATGGTCACTCCAAATGGATTGAAGTCTTTTACATGCCAACTACAACAGCTAGGCAAACCATAGAAAAACTGAGGCATTGTTTTGCAACGTTTGGCTTACCAACTACTATTGTAACTGATGGTGGTCCCCAATTTACATCCCAAGAATTTAATGAATTTTTAAGTTCTAATGGAATCCATCATGTCTTGTCTCCGCCTTATCACCCAGCCTCAAATGGACTCGCCGAGAGAGCAGTCCAGACAGTGAAACATGCTCTTCACAGGCAATTGCTGCATGATGCGAAATACAACCAATCCCGGTCGCTTCAGCATCGAATAGACTCATTTTTGTTCTCATACAGGAATACCCCACACACCATAACCAATGTGACCCCTTCAGAGGCTGTGTTTAAATTCAAGCCCAGAACTCAACTTAGCTTGCTGAAACCTCATTTAGCAGACCAAATGCTTAACAAGCAAGAAAGTATTGTCAAGAGTGCCAATGCTCATCGTGGAAAGCAACGAACATTCACACTTCAAGACAAGGTTTACGTAAAAACAGTACGTAACGAGAAGATCAATTGGCAGCCTGGCGTTATCACCAAAGTAATAAGTCCAGTAACATATTTGGTCAAAGTCGACAACCGAAGTAGATTTGTTCATGCAGACCATCTGAGGGTAAATCTTTCGGAGGGGGAAGATGGTGACAGCGATAGTGATATCTTGGTACAATTTCCGAGAGAACTTTACCAGAGCCCGGCGGAACATCGAATATCACCAGCCAAACAGCAAGGGTCACCAGCGAAACCAAAATCACCAAATCAAGGAACCCGCACATCACCTATGGCAAAACCAATAGTATCGCCCAACGGCACAAATCAAGGAAGCCCAGCCACACTCCGTCGCTCTAACAGGACCATTAGAGCGCCTCGGAGATTGGAGATGTAAGAAGACGCAAGAAGATATATCTCCCCCAAATTTTGTGTACATAGTTTAAAAAGGAATTTTATTTGGTTGGGAGGAGATGTTGTAAATAAGAAGAGAATTAGCCTAAGTTATTATTTGAACAATGTAGAGTAGAAGGACAATTAGTACCTTTGGAACCTGGGTTTGGAGATAAGCCCCCTCCCCTACGAGAGCAAGACGAGGCTTCAGTTCGAGCTGAGATCCAGGTACGACTAGACGGGTTAATCTGTTCTGATCTATTAGTTCGAGTTCGTTAATTTAAGTTAGTAAGATTAAAGTACTTAAACATATGTTTTCCGGGGTAAAACATACAATACGGCGATATTATACACTTCAATCGCTGGATAACAAATATATTCAAATAATCATAACTGCAAGATTTCAAAAACTTCGTTATGCATTTAAAAGGTGTTTACAGTCAGTACAAATCATACAAAATAAGTATATAATCATTGTATACTTATTGTAAAAGTTATTATTTTAGTAAATATTGACAAGAATTATATAAATAATATTAAGTCCTCAGATAGTCAGCGGAAGTTACACACACGTGTTTAACCTAGGACCTCACTTGTCGTGTAGGAATCGGGCTGCTAAACACACCCGGGCGACGGTGGCGCTGATGACGATAAACAGCTGAACTGTAAATTCGGTCTTTTATGGCGTAATGAGGACCTACGTAAATAAGTATGGGAGTGGTCAGAATATATTATTTTTCATTCTTAGAACGCTATTTTACTGTAGTTTCGTTGTGAGGACTTGGTCAGGTCCTCACAACGTGTTAGGTCCTCACATCGCTGTAAGGAATAGTAAAACCTCTACTGAAGCAATCTTTTGTGACTTGTCAAAAGCGTTTGACACTATTGACAGAAACATATTGCTAGAAAAAATGGAAAATTATGGAATCAGAGGACAAGCAATTAACTTAATTAAATCCTATTTTGAAAAACGTTTTCAGATGGTGCGAATAAATGACCAATGTGGCTCATATGACTCCGATTGGGAAATTTGCCATACAGGATGCCCACAAGGATTGATATTAGGGCCGATTCTTTTTTTAATTTATGTCGCGACTTGCCAAAAAATGCTGATTCCACTTTTTCAAATACAATTCAGTACGTTGATGACACTACTGTAGTAGTCCAAGAAGGGAGTCAAGGTGGTCTTGATCTTAATATTGAGGATTGCATTTTTAACTTAAGCACCTGGTTTAAAGAAAATGGATTAAAATTAAATGAAAACAATACCGAAATAATCAAATTCAAAACTCGTGAACCTTTAGAAAATTCAAGTAAAACCGAAATTTTTTTTTATAAATTTTTAGGAATAACCATAGATGCAAAATTAGAATTTTCTATACATATTGATACTTTTAAGTAAACAATTAAATTCTTCTTGTTTTGCTCTTAAAGTACTATCAAACTCAGTTTATAAAAACATTTTAAAAACTGTTTACTTTGCAACTATTCAATCTAGATTAACTTATGGGTTGGTAATTTGGGGTAGTACTTCGTGTGAAAATTTTAATAGAATATTCCGAATTCAGAAAAGGGCAATTAGAATTTTGCATCATATTCCGGTTGATGAGCACTGTCAACAAATATTTCAAGAATCAAAATTATTAACTTTACCTTGTCTTTATATTTATGAATTATGTAAATACTTCATGAAAAATAGAATCCTTTTTGAAAATCACCTGAGTGCGTATAACACAAGACGTAATTTCATAATATAGCCCTCGCACTCAACAGCAAAATTTGAAAAATCTCCTGATTATGTGACTTGTAGGGTAATTAATAAATTCTTATTATTGGAAAGACACAGACTTTAACAATGGTTTTTTGAAGAAGGTCAGGCAATACTTGTATGACAATGCATTTTATACTTTGAATGACTTTTTTAACAGTAGTGCTAAGTTAGTTAAAGATTTGAGATGACATTGTACTTACTCATCATTAATGTATGACTATTCTTTATGTACATATTTGTATATTTATGGAGAAATAAAACTCTTTCTTTCTTTCTTTTGGTATTCCCTGATTCCTAGGAACCTGTAGAATGCAGATTTTCTGTCAAAACGTTTTGCGGACGTGGTGTGTGCCCGCAGAATGTTTTTGGTCCTCAGATCGTCGGTGTGTGTCCATATCGATGTCCCCCAATGAACCCCGATACAAACACACACAGAAACCTCTCATTTTTAATAGATAAAACTATTTTATTATAAAAGTGAAATGAAAATGTTCTTGTTATAAAAAAGTAAGAAAATATAAAATTATAAAAGAGCTGTCAGTTTTATAGACAAAAATTCAACTAGGACTTGTGAGCTGGTGGCTCAGTTGGTAGCATCACGGACTTTAGGCCCAAGGCAGCGATGTTGTGGTTCGGATCCTGGTCACTGCCGCAAACATTTTATCAGTACAGTTCACCTTCGTACTGTACCGGCTCACCCCTTGCTTTGCTGGATACGTTCCACGCACAGATTTGTAGTCTATGTGGACGGGCAAATGCAAGGTTAAAAGAGGCCGCCAATCTCTTTTATAAAAAAAATCATTAAAATGTACAGATGATGAATAATAATTCAAACAACATGTTCCTGGAAAAGTTTGACAACATTATGGATCTAATTAATATGTATATACATGAGGTAAATACGAGGGTCGTTTTTTAAGTAAGGGCTCTTTGAGGGTATAGCTTCTTAGTTTGTGCAACGTATGCTGCAACGAGGCTCTTTGCCGCTTACTGGCGTCATTTGTGAACAGAACGACAACATTTCCAGCTCTGTAGCTAATGTGTACACTTTGCTGTGTGTCTAGAATAGTTATTAAATTATTAAATCTCCCGCCGCATGAGAGATAATGTCTGTCTCTGTGATATGTATTTAGACTGAAGAAACATATGGGCTGCAGAAATTCATCGCCAGATAACTGAAGTTTATGGCCCTAATGCAATGAGAGAGGGTAAAGTGCCAAAATGGGTAAGGGGGTTTAAAAATGACTGTGATTATGTCCATTTCGGAAGGAATTTTGTTTTTGGTTGGTACCCGGACTGTGGGTGTGTGGTCTTCCCGGTTTTGTGGCGGGAAGACCAAAAAGAAAGAGGTTTTCACAGCCACTTTTTTAGCAAGGTTACCAGCCATACAAATTAATCACACAAACAACAATCAATTTTAAAACTAATGACAGACCTTTGACAATGTAGCCATGGCGATTAGCACAGCTCCATTGAGAGGATGTGTGGACAGCTGATGTAGCAGTAAAGGTTCCATAGCTACCACTTCCCCTCGGCTGCCAGAGAACAAACACTTGGAGTCACACCCTCGTAGACCCAGTGTGCGTTTGAAACTAAGCTCAAACACACTTCCTCCACTATCACTGACCACAGCCAGAGTAGGGCTATCTGTCCACTGTGTACAAATGGCAAACATTTTAGAAAAAGTATATCACATTGGCCGTCCACATATTACGTACCGCTCAAGGGTGGTGGGAGGGGTTCGACTTAGTGGAACGAGGAAGAGGGAAGGGGGTTTTTGAGATCATTATGGTAACACACTAAAATATCAATTTCATTCTAAAGTGCCAAAATTATATATGTTATTATTTAAGAAACAGTCTTTATTGGCAAAAATATTTGTAATATCAGTTTAAAGTTATTTTATGTTTTATACTTACATGGTGTAAAGATAGATTAAAAGGAATTCTTCTAAGAACTTTTATTCAACATTCAACTAACTTAACAACTCACTTCAAAACAAGTCCACAACATAGTAACCCCTGGTAACCATAGTCATATGAGTAAACATACAAATAATTACTAAATCACATGTCATTCCATTACATCCTCTCTCCCATGATAAAATGTTAAAACTGATACCGCAATGTAGGTTTAACTTCTCTTCCGGTCCTAGTGAAATACCGTCCATTAACTTTTCTGCCTCTTTCCCATTCCACTCTATTTTCTTCTTTCTTTCCATTAGAAGTTTCTGTGTTTTCGCTCTCTTTTCCGTTGCTAAGGCTATCTTCTCTCTCTTGACAAATATTAGGGGTTCCTTCATCCGGGTAACGATCCCATGAATCATACAGGTTGATATATGATTGTTTACATGTCGGGATAAGAAGCCTCCTGTTTCTTCTTAAACAATTTCCATTAGACTTCACCATGTATTCTCTATCATTGGAACCTCTATCTACTATAGTCCCGTACCGCTTCAAATCAGTTATCCATACATTAACCCCCTTTTCCAATATGTCGAGATTCCTAGCTCTGTGCCTACGATCATAGTAAATTTTGTTCTTTTGATTCTGTTTTTCTTGGTCATTTCGATACTGATCTAGATCAGGCCAACGAGGTTGAAGCTGCTCTGGAACTGACGGAAGAGTTGTGCGTATTTTTCGTCCAAAAATCAATTCTGCAGGTGATACTCCACATGCAAGAGGAGAAGAGCGATGTGCTAAAAGACCAAGATATCAATCTTTATTTCTCTTTAATATCCCTTTACATGTCTCAACCGCTCTCTCAGCTTGCCCATTAGACTGAGGGAAGTGAGGGCTTGAGGTCTCTATAGCGAAACCCAATTCTTTTGCAAACGCTCTCATTTCTGAAGAGACTAAAGCAGTTCCATTATCAGACCTTACAACACGTGGAATCCCATGTCTGGAAAATATTGACATATAAGCTTGTTTTATAGCAACCGTATTAATACTGGCTAATGACAACAATTCAATATATTTTGAAAAATAGTCTTGCATGCAAATATATACTTTTCGATTATACACGAATAAATCTGTCCCAACAACTTCCCAGGGTTGATTAGGAACCACAGATGTGATCAATGGTTCGGCAGGATTAACCCGATTCTCCAAGCAACTAGAGCAGTTCTCAACCATTCTCTTTATATCCACCGATAGTCCAGGCCACCAAACTGTGTCCCTTGAACAAGCCTGACACTTATTTAATCGAAGATGTCCACTATGTATCTGGGATAAAATCTCATTTCTTAAAGGTTTTGGAATAAATATCCTTAATCCTTTTAAAATCAGTCCATTAACAAAAGACAAATTCCCTCGTTCTCTGAAAAATTCTGTATTCTTTAAGTCCGTCCACTCACCCGATTCTATTGCTTTCCTCAACATGTTACATATAACATCTTCTTTCACACTTTGACGAATTATTTCTAATCTACTGTCTGAGCAAGGTAATGTAGACACAACTGAATTAACAAACACCTCAACATCTTCATCTAGTATATCACTTTCCGCAGTTGAAACAGTCTGCAATGGTGCCCTAGACAGTGCATCAGGAACAAAGAAGCTTTTTCCTGTTTCATATCTCATTTCATAATCAAAAGGCATGAGTCTCATTCTGAATCTCTGCAACCGAGGTGTCAGGTCACACAAAGACTTTTGTCCTAAAATTTGGATAAGGGGCTTGTGATCAGTAACCAGTTCAAATTTCTTTCCTAAAATGAAAGAACAGAATTTCTCACAAGCCCAAGTTAGGGAAAGAGCCTCCTTTTCAATTTGAGCATACCGAGATTCTGTGTTAGTCATAGTTCTTGATGCATATTGTATTGGCTTCCATTGACCATCCACATTTTGTTCCAAAATGGCTCCAAGTCCGAATTTCGATGCATCTGCACACACTCTAGTTTTCCTCTCAGGATTATACAAATGTAAAACGGGAGCCTGAATCAATGCCTCCTTTTTCTGCTTGAACTGTTTCTCATGAAGATCGGACCAGTACCATTCATTTCTTTTTGAAAGGAGATCATTTAATGGCTTGGTCAGTTCTGAAAGGTTGGGAAGAAACTTCATTAAATAGTTTACCATTCCAAGAAAACGTTTCAACTCGGTTTGATTTTTTGGAACAGGATACTTCTCCACAGCCAAGGTCTTTTCTGTGTCTGGCATAAGCTGGCCATTTTCAATAAAATGTCCCAAGAAAGTTATCTTTGTCTTTTCAAACACGCACTTCTCCCGATTCAAAGTGATACCCGTTTCACATAGACGAGAGAGAACACAGTTAAGTCTTTTGTCGTGTTCTTCCTTCGTACTACCAAACACACATATGTCATCAGTTAGGTTTACAAAACCTTCTAAACCTTCTAAACATGCAAACATTTTCCTTTGAAAATGTTCAGGAGCTGAGCTGATCCCAAAAGGTAATCGCTTGAAATAAAACCTACCAAAAGGCGTTATAAAAGTTGTCAACTTGGCACTTTCACTGTCAAGGCCTACTTGCCAGAAACCACTGTTCGTGTCAAGTTTAGAAAATATTTTTGCTCCTGCCATCTGAGCTAGGGTCTCATCCACAGATGGCAAAATTAGTCTTTCTCTCTCCACATATTTGTTGAGAGCTGTAAAATCAACACACAACCTTACTGAGTCGGACTTTTTAGGGACAACAACCAAGGGAGAGCACCACTCTGTTGGTTCTGTGACAGGTGCTATCACATCAGCTTTTACCATTTTATCAAGCTCATTCTTTACTTTATCCCTGAGCGATATAGGGATCCTTCGTGGTGTCTCAATAGAAACTGGGTTATAATCACTTTTTAACTTGATCGTATAGGGCTCAGTAAACCTTCCTAGACCTGAAAAAAGCTTTGGATATTTTGCTTCCCACTCGTTTCTTAAACTTACTTCACCAATGTCCTTAAGCAATGAAAATGCTAATATCCCTGTCCTCCCTAAGAGGGGCTCTTTCTGGCTGCTTAGAATGAACACTTCCTCCATATGATCTATACCATCTTTCTTTAAGCTCACTATTGACTTACCAACTACCTTAAGTGGTATAAAATCAGGACCTTTCAACTTGATACTAGTTTTTTCAATCTTAAGATTCAAAATCTGTGCATGTTGAATTCCAATACAGCTGACATCAGCACCAGTGTCAATTTTGAAGTTAAGATAATCAGTCTCATTAACCAAAAGTTTTACATAAAACGGCTGGGAGGAACTTATATTTGACACCCTTTCATCGATCGTAACAGAGCTCAGAGCAAATGGATTAACTTTGCTAGATGATGGTTCAGATTCAACCTCTTGAACTACTGAATTGAAACTTTTTCGTTTACATGCCCGACTAAAATGGCCCTTTAATCCACATTTGAAACAAACTTTATCAACTGCCGGACACTTTTCCTTGGAATGAAACTGATTTGAACCACACCGACTACATTTCTGACTATTTTGATTAAATGCTGAGGCCTTACCAAACTGCTGTGTGTCGCTGGTTTTACCAAACCTTGATGAAAACGTCTTTCTTGTTTCCATGACTGATGTTTCGCTTATCTCTTCCGAGTTAGCAGCCTGTTGTTCCATCGCTTCTGCTTGCCTTGCTGCTTGAACTGCCCCAGTCAACGTTATCCCATCTTTTAATTGTAGGTGTTTGGATAAACTCTTATTAGACATCCCTGTAACAAGCTTAAGAAGTATCATTTCATCATTAAAATGTCTACTCTTACAATTGCTGCATGACCATTCACATTTCTCTGACATTTTATGTAAATCATTAATGTAAGAGTCAACCTTCTCGCCTGGACATTGGTCTTTCTGTAGAAACATAGCTCGATGGTAAAATATATTTTTCTTGGTAGAAAAATAATCATCAAAAGTTTTCACTACCACATCAAATGAAACCCTTTTTTCCTCAGACATTCCTAGTGACGTTAGGAGTTCCTCAGCTTCTTGGCCCATGCAGTACAATAACATGTTCACCTGCTGATCTTCAGATTTTAAAGCCAACCCAGTAGCTTTACGGAACATTCCAAATACCTTTATCCAGTTTGACCATGTTGCTGGATCTTGGAAGTTGAAAGGATCAGGAGGTTTGACTTGGTACATAGGTTCTTGCCTAGATTTAGCCTCTTCACTCATTTTAGTATTTAGAACAGAGTTTAATATATCTTTCAGTAATTCTGGTGTCAATTCCATTTTAAAATATTCTTCTTCAGTCTAAACGCTGCCACCATGTAAAGATAGATTAAAAGGAATTCTTTTAAGAACTTTTATTCAACATTCAACTAACTTAACAACTCACTTCAAAACAAGTCCACAACATAGTAACCCCTGGTAACCATAGTCATATGAGTAAACATACAAATAATTACTAAATCACATGTCATTCCATTACACATGGTAAAAAAAATTTACAATTAAAATTTTAACTGATATGAAAAATATTTTTACCAAAAAATACAGTAGTTTCTAAAATAATTTTAGCATTTTGGTACTTTGGAAAAAAATAGATTTTTTTTATGTTACTGTACCAAAACGAGCTGAACTAGAGAGGTTAGTACACATTTTTATGATTTATATTCTAAAGTTAAAAAAAAACAACTAAATTGTTTCTTTTACAGAGTCAAATCTTAAATACAGTTAACCCATGGGCGCCGGCTTACAAGCGTTACTCGTATGACCGCTGCAGGCCTGGTGCACGACTTGCGAGTGCCGCTCGTGTCACCGCTACGCAGCGCCATATTGTTTTCCCCATGTTTGTTTCTTCTTACTTTTAGGATGTTTATAAATATCTTGCTTCTTGTTTTGGGTATTTACTAATTTATTTTTACGATTACGGTAACAAACAAGTTTGAGTTGTCATGGAAACCAGATATCACCCAAAATCAGCTGCGGTAAGGTAAAACAAAAAATTTGTTTCTATGTTATACTTAGTTTACTTCTATATAAACAACTTGTGATTTTTCTATGTAGGGAATCAATTGAACTTTAATATAGTAATCATTTGGTGTGTGGATTAATCTTGGAATTGGAAAATCAAGTTTACTTTTTAAAAATTGTTAAAAAATTTTATTTTTCTAATCCTTAATTATTTTTTTTACTTTGATTATCCAATTACCACTTTATTTGTAGACAATTTTACTGTTATCAAAATGGCGAAGGAATTATTAATTTATTACCTAAAGTTTTCTTTCTATAACAATTGGAGTAAAAGTCTAAAAATTAGGTTAAATTAATTGCCGCCAGAGGGTGCTGCATGCCATTAATTTCTTCCCAACGGGTTAAACAAATATTAAATTATAGTAAAAATAAACAAGAATTTAGTCGGAAAAATTTATGGTTTTTGAAACTACTTTAAAATGTTTTAAAATATGATTGGTGTTTAAAAATAAGTAAAAAGAAATGAAATTTTAATACTAGCCTAGTATAAAAATCAGTAGTATTTCACCTTAACATGCAGCACTGCTGTGGCTGGAGTGTGAACGTCTGTCATGGAGCGAAGAACCTTTCCATCAGCAGTGTCTAACATAAGCAACAGTCCACGAGCAAACCCTGCCAACAATCTAGTACAGTCTGGACTGAGTGCTAGACATGACACAGCCCCGTGTTGTGACTCTGCCTCATAACACCATCTGTGCACATACACATACAAATCAATCAGTCAGCAAGCCCTGCCAACAATCATCTGGGCTGAGTGCTAGACATGATACAGCCCTGAGTTGTGACTTTGCCTCATAAAACCATCTGTGCACATACACATACACATCAATCAGTCAGCAAGCCCTGCCAACAATCTAGTACAGTCTGGACTGAGTGCTAGACATGACACAGCCCTGTGTTGTGACTTTGCCTCATAACACCATCTGTGCACATACACATACACATCAATCAGTCAGCAAGCCCTGCCAACAATCTAGTACAGTCTGGACTGAGTGCTAGACATGACACAGCCCTGTGTTGTGACTTTGCCTCATAACACCATCTGTGCACATACACATACACATCAATCAGTCAGCAAGCCCTGCCAACAATCTAGTACAGTCTGGACTTAGTGCTAGACATGATACAGCCCTGTGTTGTGACTTTGCCTCATAACACCATCTGTGCACATACACATACACATCAATGAGTCAGCAAGCCCTGCCAACAATCTAGTACAGTCTGGACTGAGTGCTAGACATGACACATCTCAATCATGATTTAGTTGATTGTTGATTGAGTTGATGAACAATGACATTTCATTCGGATTTTTAAAACAATCCAAACACAATGGCGCTGGCACACTCTTGAACCCAACGTGTAGGCCTAATGTCAAAGACGTTAGGAGTAATTTTCATAGCCATTTAAGTTTGAATGTGTTAGATGATATATATGTTGAGCGATCATTGTAGTTAAATACATAGTTGAATAACCTTGAGACCTACCTATATTCCTAACTCATATAAGCTCTAGGAATGCTATTGTAAATATTGATTTATAAGTATTATGTAAGCCATTTTGTAAATTCCTGTATATATACAGGGTGTTTTTAAAAGAATGCCAAGATTTTAAACTGTCGTTGCTCGGGGACTATTCAAGATAATTATTAAACAATTTAAACGTTAAATTGAAGGGAAAAGAACAAAGTCTTTTCCTCATTCTTCTATACGATTCAGAATGATTTAATAAAAAACTGATTTTCATCAATCTTATATGAGCGTAAAACTGGTAATGTATGTACGCTTAAGGCGATCGGTGGGTTTATCTGTTGTCTTAACTGAATCTTTTTAGGCACAAAGGCTCTTTCTTTTACAGATAACATCATAAAGTGACCAATTTAGGTTTGTTCAGCTGAAGACTTCGACGGGCAATCAAATTTTTCGGACTTCTGATGCAGAATTGTCGGATTTCTTCGACTAAGTGATCGCTTGTTTTTAGCCGGCCAGGTGAATGTCTTTTGAAAACACTGTGGTGCCCCAAAACTCATTAAACCAGCTTCAAGTTTCTTTATCATCAAGTAAATTTATTAAACTTTGTTTAATTTAGCAATGGAGATAAACTCTACGAACCACAGATTACAATCAATGCCTTCTGTTGCGCCGTAAAAACGTCTTACTGGCGACTGGCGTCAAGCGTATGAGTCATAATAGCGGCCTACCACCGCTCACCTGTTTTGCGCATGCCAAGGTCAAAGTTTCCTCCCATGCTACTCGGGAAACAAAACTTAGTTATTTAAGCTTCAATTTGATGTATAAAACGTTTAGTTACCTAGAATAGTACCCAAGCAATTATCATTTAAAATCCCGGCATTCTTTTAAAAGCACCCTGTATATGTAGACCTCTGTAAGGCATGTTTTAAAAATAACGTTATGACTTAGCTAATGCAACTTGTTTTGTTAACATACTGGTTAAATAAATGATTTGATTTGATGTAACATTTATGAATTAATTGGTTGCGAGAATAAAACATGAAGCATTAAATAAAATTATAACATAATTACGAGTTGCCTCACTTGAAATTTGCAATAAAGATTTTGGTCTTAGCTGTAGGCTACCATTGATTATACATACATCTCCTTGGAGAGTTGTTTAAATGGCTTTACCTGCATGGTTTATTGATTGTAAAGGCAGCCTGACTTTAAAATGTTACTATCAGTGCCGTATGTATTTTGTAATGACAAATTAACTACTTACAATTCATTCACATACTAAGTAAAAGCAATAGTTGTAAGACAATGTCACACGCAATCTAGTTGGTAGCTTGATTCAAACAAAGGCTTCTATCCTCAAATATTTCAAACATTTAAATAAACTAGAGGTCGTCCAGTGGTCGAAACTCGACCAAAAATATTTAATGTACAGACTTCTTTATTTTCATTCCACACTTTGAATAGAACATGTGATTGGAGTTTCCTTCATTTGTTTTGATTTTCTGTTTATATTTCGTTGTTATTTCGTCACCAGCATGGCAACTCATAATGTCCATGTTAAATTTTTCAAAATTTTAAATTCATTTTTTGTGCTTATTTTTGAGCCTATTTTAATTTATAAAGGGATTCTGCACACCTACGGGAAAATAGCTTTCTAACAGTATGCGTAGATTTTCCCTACGATGCACACGAGCTGAGAAAAAAGGTTTTAAAGAAACATGCTTGCCTATTAATATATAGATAGATTGAATAATTTGTGCCTCCTCCGCGGTGGGAGCATTGATTATTGAAGTGTTGTGTAGTAGCCATCCCGGTAACTAACTATCGATACATTGCCATTTCGATCACGACGGCCTTCTTTAGGCACTAGTGCTATTAGAAAATAACATAATCTATATAAATAAAATTACAGTTTTGTCTGTACATTGCTTAGAATCATGCGGTTTTTGGTTATTTTCACGTTTCATAGCCTAAGAAAGCCGAAACGAGTCTTATCTCAATTTCTGTCTGTATGTCTGTCTGTCCATTCTGTGACTCCGTCTGTAACGCCAAAACGTCATTTTACGCGGCCTACTCCTAGAAAACTAGAGTACAGATCAAGGTTTTAATCATTTTTCTGTATTTGCTGGATTGGTGAGAGTGTCTTTGGCTATAAAAACATGGTCTCGCTTCTTCGAAAACAAAATAACAAACCACCAAAAACCCAATTTTGTTCGATTTTTGTCAAATTTTCTCCCAATGTTTACTATTACATTACATTTTATGAAATAAAGATCAGCTGTTTGGATTAGTTCTCATTTCTAGCTGTCACCGATATGTTTACAATAAAAGATGTTTACAAATACCGCAACCATTTCCGATCTAGATTTAAAATCTAATCAGTTAAATTGGCTCATCGGAAGGAAATCAAAACTTAGTCTAGAAAATAAATTGTTGCTATATAAAACTATATTGAAACCAATCTGGACATATGGAGTGCAACTATGGGCATAGACAAAAAGAATATGGGGCTCAGCGAGTACTTCTAATATAGAAATTCTCCAAAGATACCAATCGACAATGCTGAGGAAGATAACAAATGCACCATGGTATGTCAGCAATAGAACACTACATCAAGACCTTAAGATGCCTACAGTTAAGGACGAAATCATGACCATAAGTGAACGATATATTACGAAATTGGAATCTCATCAAAATCATTTAGCTCTTAACTTATTAAACAACATGGATACAATTTACAGACTTAAGAGGCCATCAATTCTGGACCTGCCCTACAGATTTTTGTAAAGTGTTTTTATTGAAAAATTTGTTGTTGAGAGTGCTTAACAGCTATTTTTAATGTTCCAAAGTCAATTTTTCGTATTACATAGTATCATAGACAAATATAATTGATAGTATTTACTTATTGTTCCATATATAATAGAACAGATTGTAAAGTAAATAAATAAAAAAAAAAGTTTTGTCAGCACATCCAAACCAAGTGAGATTAAAAACGTTGTGCCTTACTTAACCGGTTTAATTAATCGCAAGTGCGACGATTGTTCTTGAGTTTTGATAACCGGGGAAAATACCGTGAATCAGTGTTGTATTAGTGCAAGGAAACTTACATTTTTTTAATCATCGTCACTAATACCGTAGCTTACAAAGGTTTCCACTCATTGACGGCGCTTCAAGGACAGTTGTGTAAAGTGCAAAGTAAAAAATCACGACTGCAGTGGGTGATCGTGGATGTTGCTGCGATCATGGAAGATCTTTCTGATTTCGCTGTGATCGTACCGTAACAGAGGTTTAACTTAACAGATGTAGCTAAACTCGCTTTTCCAATGTGTCACTTTTGGTTTCTACTTACTTACATTTCGACAACGATATCGGTACTTTTCCTACTTAGGAAATAAAACTACAAACTACAAAACCCCAGATTTGTGCGTTTTTTGTCACATTTCCTCCGAATGTTTGCTAGATATATGTACCGATTATCGTTTAGAGATTACGTAATCTTAAGAAACCTTTGTTTGGATAAAGGTGGTTTCTTCAAACTGTCATTAATATGTTAACATTAAAAGCTGCTTACAAATAATGCTATTATAGGAAATAACTTTGATTTTCGAAAACTAAAAAAAAAATTATAGTGCGTTCAAACAGCCGTGGCACCTGAGAGATTAGGAGGCCCCAAGGGTTTCCATGGGGTCTCCTAATCCGTCAGGTGCCACGGCTGTTTGAACGGAGTATAAAACCAAAGGAGATCAATAACTTTGGTACTGGTACTGCACCACATCAAGTGAAAGTTTTTTTTAGCAAACCATAGTGAGTTTTCAAAGCTTTACGTTGTTTACGTTACATGTTACATGTTTTGTGGCCTGTGTGTATCTATTTATTTATATAATTGCCAACTAATTAACACCTATAATACAGTTTGATTAGAAGGACAGTTTGAATTAGTCGTAAGTAGGCTACTACAGTTCTTTTCTCAAATGTAAACGTTGGTTTTTGGTACCGGTTCTGCTACTTTTCCTTTGAACCGGTGGTAGCAGTACCGGTAAGAATAAGTTTTACATACAAACACATCACTATTTTCACTATTTATTTATAGGCACTGCACCTTATTGCTCATTAAATTTAATTGATGTCTTACTGTATAATTTTTAGCGTTTTCTGTCTGGACTCCAAAATGTTGTGTGGACTCAATTCTGTATTTGTGCGTGTATGTCTATTGGTAATGCATT